CAGAGTCTTCCATCATCTCCCGGACAAGCTCTTTCTTTTCTTTCTCGGCCTTTTCCGAGAGCTCCTGAGTAAGACTCTTCTCCTGGGTCACCAGGCTTACCTTTACGCTCGCCAAGGATTTCTCCAAGGTTTCGTATGAGGACATCTTTTGGCGAAGAGGTCTCAGCTCGGCCTTGAGGTTGTTGATGGTCGCCTCCAGCTCGCTATTCCTCTTCTAAGCCGCCTCTAACTGAGCCCGGATAGCGGCGGTAGCCTGCGCCTGATAATAAAGAATATCAATGGTCAGAACTTCATTTTGGGCAATTTGAAACATTGCCTTATCACAGTCAGAGGCGGCCATAGCTTTTGCAGCCTTTACCTCTTTGTTCTTCCGGTCAAGCGGCTTGCGAAGGCTGTTCACTCGGAGCAGGGCCTAAGTAAAAAGGGGAACAGGCGTCAGTTTCCAAACAAAAAAGAAAACAAGCGTCCTGGAATTCAAATACTCAAAAATATGCTAAGTATACCTCAGCAAGGACCCCTGCAATCCCGTCTAGGTCAAGGGTGCCGACACCCCTGACCGCCTCCCTTTCAGCTGGAGGAACGGCCTTGATCATAGACTTGGCCACCTCGACCAAGTCAGGCTCCTGAGGGCTGGCTGCATCAAGCATAAACAAACGGATTAGACCTAGTAAAGAAGGGAGCAAGTCTAAAATTTACAAGGACAATTTCATACTTCTAGGTGGCCCAGCTGGAGTTTTAGAAGAAGTGGCCGGCTGTTTCTCAGCCGCCACATGTTTCCTGGCAGAACCAGGAGAGCTCGCAACAGTCGTCCTCCGGGCCTTGGGGTCCGGCTGTTGGGAAGAAGAAGCTCTTGGAGCGCCCGTCTAAAAAAGAAGAAAAGAGTCAGTATATGCATAAACACAACTCCAAAAAGAGGGTGAAAGGTTCGAAGCCCACCAAGGGTGCCCCCTTGTTGGGGGAGTCGGTTGAAGACCGTTGCATGATGGAGGCCCGCAACATGGCCGCCGCAGTCTTGGAGGCGGTAATTTTGCTCATGGCGTCCGCTGCAAAAACAAATAGCAAAGTTAATAAAAGTCATAACAAGAAATGCATGGAACAACAGAGTATTCGACAGGCCGGCTACCTCTTGAGCACCGACTGCTGAGGCCACAGGCGGCCAAAAAGTACTCGTCGTAGAGCCATTTGAAGCTCGGGACGCAGTGCAGGGGTACTTGCTCTCGTACCCCTGAAGTAGAGTTCACCTTCGACTCTACTTTGAAGAGTCCTTTTTCTAGGATCTCTTTCTTAGCCTTGGGGGGAACAGGCGGCATGCTGCGGCCGCCTGCAAGAAGGGGCGGATTCCTGTTCCACCTGTTGAAGCGCTTGTTCAGCTCTGTGTCTTAACTCTCAATGATGAGGAAGGTGCTCCGCCAGTCCTTCCATTTGTTTGCTTTACCTCTCGTCATGAGGTAGCCCCTGTGGCTCGTCAATTGATACCAGCCGGTACCGCCTGCCTTAGGGGTCCGGCTGAGGTAGTTCATGTGGGCGAAAGCCTCGAAGCTCGGCTCCACCCCGTGCAGTTCGCACCCGGCCACATAGCCGAGTACGTTGACCCAGGAGTTCGGGGCTAACTGTCATAACCCCAACTCATACCCATCCAAGATCCGCTGAACAGCTGGATGTAGTGGGAAGCGCAGCCCAGCCTTGATGGCCGCCTCGTAGCAGCCAAAGCAGGCACCATCATAACTGGTACCAGCCGGCCATACGACTGTGTCTTCTGGATCCGGCACGAACACTAAAAAGCCGGGGCCCATTGTGTGGTTTGCGATAAAGCTCTCCACTTTCTCTTGCATGGCCGTGATCTGGCCCCGAGGTACCGTGCAGTAGTAGGGGGTATTTTGCTCTCGGTGAGAGGCGGATGGCTCCGCCCAATCGTCCCCCTTCTCAACTGCGTGAGAAAGCCTCGCCTCTTGTAGGCGACTGTTTTTCTCTTCTGTGTCCAGGGAAGCATGGCCAGAAGAGCTAGACTCGGAATCGTCCTCTGACGAGTCCGAAGAGGACGACTCTTCCCCTCTCCCGGAGGGGCCCGCCTCCTCTCCTTTAAAAGGAGCAGGAGAGAATGTAGAATTGTCAACGGTAAAATGGGAAGGGGTCACTTTGACTCCTCCCTCAGAACTGCCGGCTTTCAAGCCGCTTTGTTTCACTTCCACATCTGGCGCCTGGTCAGATGTTCACTAATCGGCACCTTGTGTGAGGAGCCGTCTGAGTTTGAGATCCTGGCAGTCTTTTTTGTTCTGGCCATCATGTTCTGCATAGACACAGATACAGTCGGACTTTGTATAAAGGGCAAAGATGGGTCCAGAAAAGGGCAGGCGACACTCCTAGTCCTAGATTCAGCCGTCCCCGGTGACCGGCTGATCACTAACCTAGGTCGTGTCGTGTGCTTCCGTGGTGCCATTTCAAAAAAGAATAAAGAGAAAATTAAGAGTAAGAGAACCGACGGTTACCTGAACGAGTGACGATTGATGAAGTTCTGAAAATCCTTTGCAGTCGGCTTGTCAGAGCAGGCGGTAGGCAGAAAGGGTCCAAAATGTCAGAGCAAGTTCAGGGGTCCGAATGTTCTCTCACAAAGTTTTCAAGTGTGAAAATGACCGAAGTCAACACTCCTTTATATAGGCGAAGTGAGAAGGCGAAGGGTCACTTCCAGAATTCAAAATTTTGGCGGGAGAATCTCTCGGCCTCTCGCCGAGTGACACCTGTAGCAGGTCGTCGCCTGTTACAGGGCGATACCTGTCACAGGTAACACGTGACCAGTCACGTGCCACCTGTGAGGGGCAAATGATTAGGGGATTTTTCCCCACCAATCACCATCTGACAAGTGGACCAATCAGGTTCCGCCATGTGTCCGTCACATGGGCCAATAGGAGCCTGCCACGTGTCAAGCAATGATCCGTCCACCATGGACCAATTACGACACGACACGTGTCCTTCCCATGACACCTGGGATAACCGGTCACCTAGGCCCAACTCCCGAGGGAAGCCCAATCAGCCCAAGGTTAACCTAAACCTAGATTGACACGTTTCCCGAGGTTATAAATACCTCCCTTAATCCTCATTAAGGGAGATTACATGCTAAAAACGCAGATTACACACATTAAACACTCTCACCTAGAGAGACCCAATCACTTTAATTTCCGCATTAATTACTCCTTAATCAAGTACTAACTTGACCGTCGGAGGCGGATCTCCAACCATCCGGAGCATCCGTTTGTTTTGCAGGTACAGGCGCCCGGTTCCAGTCTCGGAATTGTAACTCTCCCGCAGGACATCAGAAAACCCCGAAACAAATAGTATTAACTTTTTTTTTTCTTACTAACAATTATATATATATATATATATATATATATATATATATAATCAAATTAATGAATTAACATGTATGTCAAGTTTAAGTGTGTCAATTATTCTAAAACATAAAGCACTCATTTTCACTCTTTTTTTTTATCTCTCTTAAACTTCACAATACCTTTGTTGACTATTCTCTTTCACTGTCAAACTTCATAACACCAATTTCTCTCTTATCTTTCACTCCTAAACTTTATATGGAATATCTTTTCTCTCCATTTCCACACTACTTCCACTCCCAAATTTCATAACACATTTTCTCATTTTTCTTTCGTTTGCACATTTCATAAGACTAAAGGCACTTACTTTATTTTTCTGCTAATTTCGAGCTCAATTTGGCCCTTAAGAGCTGAAATGACCTCTAAAATCTTAACCGAATATTTTTCAACACGTAAACCAATGAAAAAGTTAAATCAGGCTGCAATTTACAATTTATAAGAACTTTTGAGTTACAATTTGCAATTTTATTTTAAATGGCTGCAATTAGCAAATTACTAACTTTAAATTGCTGCAATTTGCAAATTTTCCTACACGAAGTATCTTCTTAAATTTTTTAGCTAAAAATGATAAATCATCTAATCCAAGTACGTAATCCTTGTTTTCTTTCTTCTTTTTCGCTGGTAATTTATGCTCAATGTTTTTATTTTATTTTATTTTTGGAAATTTCACTTGTTAAATAAGCAAACATTAGTGAATTTGGCATATCATCAATATACCTAGAGGCGAAACCAGAAATGACACTTGTCATAACTTGGTTAAAAAGTTTCCCTCCAAAAGGGTTTTTTTTTTAATCTCTCAAAGCTTCTTAGAGAAGTATTTAATTTAATACTTACTTTACAATAATATTTCTTTTCTATTTGACAAGTATATTCATTTTTACACATTCAACAAAGATTTATATATTTATTTATTTTATGACGGGAATAAAGTCATATAATACAATAATGTAATATTATCTATAACTTTGTAATGTAATCCATGGTTATTTTAATTAGTCGTGCATGCATTTCTTCCTCTGTTTTCTTTATAGATTCAAAAAAATTGTAATTACAGAACTTTCATCTTATTTTGCAATTTGAATCAAACTAATGATAAATAGTAAAATAATTGTATTAAACTAATGATAAATATTGAAATTACTGTGCATGGCACGGGATCTAACCTAGTTATAACTTAAAGGGGAAGTAGCTTGAGATTCTTATGTGGCATAATCATAACTATATAGACAACAAGTTACACTACTCAACATACTTTCTATCTTTGCCAAAAGGAAAAAAAAATTAAAAATAAATAAATAAATATATAAAAATAGCTTTTCGTCTATGGACTATCTGGTTGGTGAAATTCTTATTAGCTAGCAAAAGTGGGCAGTATGACACACGATGAGTCGCATTGCGCAAAACCCGACAGGCTAACCTTCCCCAAATACACAACAAGCATTATGATAGCTATACGCAAGACACTAATCAACACCAAGACTACACACCAAGACACATGCATCAATATAGGCAATTGCCTCATATGGGAGTTGTTGTGCCAACTGCCAAGGTATCAGCACACGACAGGAAGGATTCAAACGAGGAAAAGAGAGCAGTAGACAAACATGAACAAGAAAATAGGAAACTTTGACCCATATTAATTAGAGGTGGTCTCAATCTCATACAGAATAAACGGATCATCGTTTCATGACAGTATACACATGACAAAAACAATGGCCTCTTCTCCAAATGTACATCCCACTTCAAGAAAAGCGGGTAATGTCTTAAATTTATGTTAAACAGCAATAACCAACTGCTATCATAGCAATCAAATACATAAACAAGCCAGGTTTTTTCTACTCAGCATAGTTACACGATTCAAAATCAAAGAAATCTTGCAAGCACTAAGTAGGTCTTTAGAACTAGCAGTTCTTTAGCAGCAATGAATCTAATCATCATCGTCGAGAACACTTCGGCGCCTCTGGATCTGAAAAATTAGAGTACAAAGCACAATAAGAGAACGGAAGCTCAAATAGAGAATTGCTTGCTTATGGGGTCAGGACAACTTACAGTCACTTTGGTTTGCTTAACTGTCTGAGTATTAATTTGCTCCAACAGTGATATAAGTTTTTCCTCTGAAACCTGTAGTATCAAACATCATATTACCTCTATTAGATTTCTTTCAATAAACTACCAAACACTTGGTTGTTCCCATATAAAAGGGTTTTTGTCTGACCTTTTCAACAATTTGACCCATCTGAGCAGCTCTTAATATAACATCCTCTACTCCTCTAGCCTTTTCAGGCTTAACCAGAGCAATCCGAGAAACTGTTGATCAGAAAAGAAAAAAAATGCATTTAGCATTAAATAATGGCGTTGATCTAGAGAGCCAATCTAGTTATGTAAATGAAAGTGGCATCTGTTGATAGCCCACAAATCACGCTATAGTGCAAAATTCACTATCCTCGCATTTCTTGGTGTTTTATGGACTAATTTAGGCTTCTAGCGATTAGAAAGAGCATAAATTAAAATTTGAATTGTGCCTAACATCTAATCAAAGCTAGGACGAAGCATATACTTATTGAAAATAGCTACTCTGTAATAGTAATGTTTTACCCTGGCCTCAATATAATCAGTGAACTTTATAGTTCAAATCAAATTAGGTAATCTACAATAGCACATTTCATCATGCCACCAAACTCATATGACTTTCCTGGCAGCAATATCATTAGAGAAAGATACTTCATCATATAGTTTACCAAGTCGTAAATGTACGAAGGAAAATCACAATTTACTTCAACAAGTGTAGATAGCATCTTGGCAAGATTAAAAATAGGAACCATTAGATCCAAACTTTCTTCAACAAATAGGCATTCTAGGCTTCTAGCCTTGGAAAAAATACTGATGCACCACAAATAAAACAAAAGTTCATTTGGCCACAGCCGGAATTGTTTATTTCTCAATGCATTGTAAAGATGTTGCAGTGATTGACCACCGGGGTGGAGGGGACTTGTTTATTTCTCAATGCATTATAAAGATGTAGTAGTGAAAGATACTTCATAATATAGTTTACCAAGGGAGTTATCCAACTTGTCACACAAATACAAGCGCAGGATACAGTGATACACAGCTTAAAACGAATGACTTAACCCCCCAAAAAAAATTTAAAAATAAAAGAACTATTTACACCAAAAGATATTATCATCAAATTCTATGCTTTACACCATTATGGGCATGCTCAACAAAAGATATTATCATTAAATTCTATGCTTTACACCATTCTGGGTATGCTCAAGATTGTTTAGCTCATGCCTATTCTTTTCTTGAAAGGGAGTGAAAATGTGTGGCTAATACAACATCTAAGTAGTAGCTGCCAGACAAGGGTGAAAGGGTGTGGTTTGAGGACTTTCCAAGGAAGGTCACTGATATTGTCACGAGTCATCTCCCACACCAAATAAGAGCATTGGATGGGTCACTAGGCAACAAGGCATAATTGTAGCTAGGGGGCTTGCCCATGGTGCCGGGGGCACACTTCCTCCTATAGAGCTTAATTTTGTCATGGCCTTGTAATTCTAGTAAACACACATTTGACAATAACACAATTATAGGTCATTTGGAGGGGAAAATGGGCTCCAAATGGGCTCTAATTTGGGGGACCACCATATTTTAGGTCAAGTAAGACCACAATGGTGTCGGATTTCCAAGATGAGGTCTAGAAATTTGAGTTTGGACAGCAAGGAGTCCGAAAAATGGGAGAGAGTTCTAGAAGGTTTTGGACATCTGTTGTGGAGTATTCAAGAGGGGATAACTCTAAAATATTCAAGAAACATCTTGTTTATAGCAGAATGTTTCTAGGTTCTTCGATGTATGTACATATGAGGTGCAATGTTCTACCAGTCTTGTGCATTCTAGGCATGGATGTATGTAAACATGTAGTGTCTAGTGCATTCTAAGCATGGATGTATGTAGTGTTGTATGTAGTTCCTTTGGAGGTGGGAACACTCTAGAAGGTAGTCTAAAACCCTCCATTTGAGGAGATTAGGGATTTTCTAGAGAGTTAGAGATATGAAAGATGGATGCGTATAAATAGGCCATCCCACCCACTTGTACATATTAGCCAACACCATCAAATTGTATTCTCCTTTCAAGTAATCAAAGCATACTTTAAAAACACTTGTGAGCAATACGTTAGCCATAAATCGTAGCTCACTTAGCTTAGCAGAATCAAGAGAAGTCTTGACAGTAGTGGACAACATGCATAGGGACTAAAGGGGCTTAATCAACACGTGACAATAAGATATGAAAAGTTATATACAGACATGGCATATGTTTCACATTGAAAAAATGGAGGAGAAGATACTTTTTCGTGCCATGCTGGAGAGCTTTTTCAATTGTTGCCCTTTTTGGTCACATTAGTTAAGGAAATTATGTAAACAAATATTTTGGAGAGATAAATGTCCGCATACTATTCTAATTTTTTTTTAAAAAGGCAATCAATATTAATGAATAAAAAACAATTAAAAGGAAAAATAAAAATTTTACATATCAATAAGGATAAACATGTAAATGCACATTATAAAATGTATATTCCTAACCGTGTCACGGCGCACAAAAAGTGCAATGGTGCTTTTGCGCGTGCAAAAGGATAGATTTTTTGCGTTTTTGGACTCTTTTGGCTGTAAATTACGACCAATTAATTCGTGATATGCATAATTCCGAAACATAAAATAGCTAGAATTTCATATTTCAATAATAATGTCTCAGAATTTTATAATACATTGCGTGACCGGTCATATTCTTTGACCAATGCAGACAAGAGAGAGCTAGAATTGTTTCATGCAAGAGGTTTATTAGCATTAAGGAATGTAGCAATTGAACATGACTTTTTGAGAGCAGCCTTAGATTATTGGAGTCCGGAAACCCATTGTTTCAAGTTCGATTATGATGAAATCTGTCTTTTGCCGGAGGAGTTTGGTGCTATCTTTGGCTTTTCTCGTTGCAATGCCTACTCTACGTGAATATTATTACCAACATTTTAATATTATTACCAACATTTTAGATAGGGATTAGATAGGGAATTATTTGGATGATATCCTTCCGACACCCTATATCCTAAAACAAACTCACCATTCCCAATTTACATAAAAGTTATATTGAAAGCTCAAAATGTTTGATAGCTCAAATGTTTGTAGCTCAAACACTTTCCCAATTTTTCAATATCTTCTTACTTTATTTTTTTTTATTCTTTTTTTAATCCAAATTTAGATCTAAACTAGTGGACAAGTACATTAAAAAAAAAGTGATGCTCGCTAATTGGTATTATTTATAGACTCTAATTTTAGTCAATAACTTAGGTATTCAACAAAAACTGTTCAAATTTACAAGTAATCAAACTCTTAACAAGGATTAAAAAAAAAAAAATCTTAATGTTTGATGATGATGATTGATGATGACAAAATACAAGAGTAGCAAATTATTTATTCAATTAAACTCATAAGCAAATACTCAATATACTAGTAGTAAATAAAAAATAAAATAACATCATATTAATTTGTTATCTGAGCTTACGTCTTTCACGTGCTTCGCTGGAAAGAATCTGAGCAAGCATCATCTGCCTTCGTTCTTCAGCTTCCCTTCATATCATATGCCAAACAAACCAAAAAACGGTTAGCACAAATTAGAAACAACACATCAAACAAACATAAACTCATACCACCAAATCACCCAGTAACAAATAATCATACAATTTTGCCTCTTCTTGAGCCTTCTGTTGTTCAGGGTTCTGCTGACTTCCCTAATTGAATGAGGGATACTGTCAGTAAAATACTATACACGGTGCAGTAACAAATAAATCACACAAAAGCTTGAAAAATCTACAGAATAAATCAACACGATTGATTGAGTTAATACCGAACCACCTCCGCCACGTTGTGCCATCAGCTCCTGCATTCTTCTTTGTCTGATAGCTTCCAGTTCAGGATCCGCCTACATATACAAAACCCTCAGCATCCAAACAAATACCACAAACATGTATATTCTGTCATTATAACCCTAGAATTTCATGAAAAATTCCCAATTTACACTCTTAATCCCATTATTTCAAATTAAAAACACACCCTTAAATTCAAAACCTTTATCATAAATTAACAGGAAACACTTAAATTGAACCAGATTCCAGCAAAATTACCAATCATACACATTTATCTACAACAACAGTGAGTTAAAATTAAAATTAAAATTAAAATTAAAATCAAAATAAACAAAAACAAAAACAAGAAGTAATCTAACATGTTTTGACTAAGAATTGCAGAGTAAAACCCTAAATATGGAGAATAAAGAGGAAGAGGAGAGAGAATTTGGACATACCATTGTTAATGGAGGTAAGGTTTGTAGCTAGCAGCTAACCGAGATTCAGGCGATGTTGGAATTTAAAAAAAAGCGTTAGTAAAACGCAAGTTTTAGGAGCCTCGTCTAGTGCGATGCAGGACAGCAGGAAGGTTATAAAGAACCCCAATATGCTATTGCAGATTCTATTCGATATTGGCTCTTATTAGGGTGCTAATCCAGCGAGTCAATCAATCAATTACGAGCAAAGGGTTGCTCGACTCGTGTTCGCTGATTTTCGATTCGAGACGAGTTGATAACGAGTTGCCCATTCAAAGGTTTATGCCATTTGAATTTCAAATATTTGTTGATTATATTTTATTATCTTTATATACTACTCCCTTCAACCCTTTAGGCCTAATTTTAGTCTCAAAATGATCGATCCATTTGCATTAAAATACCCACCAATTTACAACAATATTTGTGCAAAATTAGCTTCTTCATATCAATTTTTGTTATTTCTTGTATTTTTAATACTATGTCTCTCTACTTTTTTACAAACCCCGTGTAAATTTATTTTTCTGATATGTTTTTATTTCTTTTTATTTAAGTTTCTTAATAACCGCAAAATCAACCCAAAAGGGTCAAAGTTTTGGGACGTAGGGAGTAGTAAATTTTTCCTACTTAAGTTTATTACTTCGTCTCCATCCCAAATTACTCGCAATGGTTTGACATTTTACACTATTCACACATCTTCTTTTGACCATCTCTTTTAACTATTATATAAAAGTCAATGTTATGTAAGATGTTGTTGGGTCTATTTTAATATATACTTTCTTAATGTAAACTTTTAATAACTTATATAAATTTGTAATATAATATATCAACGGTCAAACATGTGCATCGGCAAGCGTGACCAATCAAAATGTTGCACGTAAACTGGGACATAGTGAGTAGTATTATTAAGAGTCAAGGTAAATTTTTGCTTTTAAAGATTAAGGAATAGAAAAATATTGAATTTCTTGTACGCTTATCGAGTTTTGAGCACGAGCAAACTCGAGTCGAGTTTAGATCGAACATTGACCGAGTCAAGTTTAAATTGCTCGTAAGTTGCTCTGCTCAATTAGCACCCCTAGCTAGGATACATAGAAACTTCTTCCAGTAGTCGCATTTGATATTTTTGATAGAAGGGAGCCCCAAGGATCTTTTTGATAAATGATTTATGTTTATCTAAGTAACGGTTTTGTGTGAACTGCTATTCAAGTAGTTGTTTTACTCATAAACGACAAAAAAAAAAAAAAAAAAAAAAAAAAAGAACTAATCTACAATATTGCCATTAGATAACACAATTAGGGGTGTACACCGGTCCAAAACCGGACCGGACCTGGATCGGACCTGTTTGGACCGGGGACCTGAATTGGGTAATTATGAGGACCGGGGACCGGACCTGAATTAACAGGTCCGGTTCCGGGCCAGACCTGAAAAATCAGGTCCGGTCCGGGTTAAGACCTGAATGGACCTGTTTTGTGTCTTTTTCGTTTTTTTTTTAATACAAAACCTGTTGGACCTGCATATGGACCTACATATGGACCTGTTTTGTGATTTTTAGACCTGTTGCATCATTTAATAATTACATACAAACCAAAATTATCAATTACAAAACTACATAAAGTCTATAAAGTCCCGATTCTCAAACACCAAAAATACAAATGAGTCCACCGAAAATACAAATAAGTCCACGAAAACTCAGTTTCAATTTTTCAGAGTTTGGTTTTCTTCTTTTTTTTTTTTTTTTTTTTAATTACGATTTTCCCGGGTTTCAGGTCCGGACCTGAAAACCCCGGGTTTGGACCAGGTCCGGACCGGGACCGGGAACCTGGATTTTTAAGAACCGGGACCGGACCTGAATCAACAGGTCCGGGTCAGGTCCGGTCCGGTTCAGGTCGGTTCAGGTCCGGTTTCAGGTCCGGGCCAATTTTTGTACACCCCTAAACACAATTGTTGTTCATCAAGAAAATCAACTTGTATTTTCTCCTTATACTACCCCACCCTTAAAGTGTCACTAGTGAGGATTGAACCCCCAACCTCAAGGTTGAAAGGTCTTATCCTTACCACTAGACCAAGTTTTAGGATTGACGTTTTCTTCTATGTATTTTGTACATGTACCCATGCAACCTAAAGTATTGGTAGTCTGACTAGTCTCAAATCTTTATTGTAAATTTATTTTAAAGAAAGATTGATTCATTAAATAAAAAAGGTTGTATGACATGTACAAAGAGATTTAAATCTAACAAATACATGACGAATGAATCAAATAAAAATATCAACAAAGATACGATCGTTGTTGCAAATCGTTCGGCAATGGGGTCAATCGATCAATTATAGCTGTGAAAAAAGAATATATTATTTGACTCATCTGTATGTATACAATTAAAGAATGGAAGAAGTATAAATTTTGTATCATGCATCTCTTAATGTTCGTTACGATGCAACATATATTATAACAAAGTGCATTTTAACCTAATGTCTCGATTTCATCAAGAAATGTTGGGATATTCTCATCACTTGCCCTTGTGACTCACTAAACACCAAAAAAAATTCATATAAAAAGTTTTTTTTTTTTTTTTTTTGAATAAGATGTCAAGTTAGCTACTCGTACTAAACAAGATTATAATTGCCTAATTGGTTAAGATTATTCATCTTGTAACCTAGATATTGCAAGGCCGAAATTTCTCATATGCAAGTGTTAGAAGAGGATCCCTTATCTGCCTTCCCCTCTCACTCCCAAGTATGTACTCCACAGTGTTTTGATCAAAATAACCGTAAAAGTTAAGGTCTAGGTAGAATATTTCTCCTCACCTTATAAATTAATTAATGATAAATAAAATATAAAAATATATGTTACATAGTAAAAGTTAGAAGAAAAAAAAAAAAAAGATACAACTGTCTTGTATACTTTTCTACCTAAAATTGAAGCACTTTGTGTTTTTCATTGCAATCAAATACCATTCACATCATCTTTGATATCAAAAGCTAGTGGTTGCTGAACTCTTTTAAGTGTAGAACCAATTCTCAAATCTTCCTTCTCAAGGTACCAACAATAGCTCTGAAATATGGGTGAACTAACCGTGACTTCAAAATTCAATAAGAAAAGTAATTCCAGCTCCAATCTGTTTAATTCTGAGTTGCTTACTCCTCCAACTTTTGCATAGAAGGCGTTGTTGTATTGCCTGCCATTTATAAAATTTATCGATCAGAGTCACTTAAAGTGTTAATTACTTTTTTTTTTTGTTAAATGCAACAATTTTTTTCTTGAAAGAACACTCTTAAATAGATATTTGTTATAATATGTCACTTATAATATTTGAAAATATATTATGTATGTCACATATAATATTTCACTGTATTTTTCTCCTCTTATGATATTCTCACCTAGTTGTACCACTTTCTCACATCCTTGTTTTTAAATTAACTTTTACTCTCTAAATTTTATTTTTTTTTTGGTACTTTTAAAATTTCTAACAAAACCCAGAATATTTTTGCATTACTAAAAACGAAGGGAATACATAAAATTGATAAATATGGTTCTTTATCTTATTAATTACCTACACTTGGGTCTATTTAAACTAGTCAATTCCCAAAATTATGCTATTGATGCTCTGTTTAATGAAGTTGTATTATATATCTTGCCTAAACTTGGGTCTATTTAAACTAGTCAATTCCCAAATTTATGCTATTGAAGCTCTATTTAATGAAGCTGTATTATAATTTAGAAGATGCATGTGACAAATCTAATTAAAACTAAAACACATGACATATGATAATATCAACTCAACTCTAAAACTAATACTATGAAAATTGTAACACAACTCTATAGAGGAGGAAGAGGGATTAAGATAGAGAGCGTACACATCGTCAAGCATCTTAGAGGCGATCATAACACTTGTGAGGAGCAACCTATGCACGTTAAGTGAAATAACGAGCAACTCGGGATGTTTATGCACCAATCTATCTATGTACACATATCCAACCACAAAACAAGATGGACTACAATTTGTGTACTTGAATAGCCTCTCCAAGTACTTGGCTATACTTATGTTTGGCGCTCGGACCCCATTGAACACCTTCAAGCTCATTCCTAGCTCACCCGCCGCCAATGGCCTAGGACTAACATAATGAATCAAGTTGTTACGACCATTATGCTCTATAAGTGGATCATTCCTAGTCACTAGACGTTCCAAAATCGCGGCTAAGATGAGCAACACCCTTGGCGTTGTTGCCTCGGCTGCGCTTGTCTCTGGCTGCTGCCCGCCAACATGATCTTCACTTGGTATAGTAGCCAACATTATTATGGTTGTTACTTAAGCCATTTTATGAACTTTCATTTTAGGGGTTAAAGTTTGGCGGGCCAATTATTTGGTGGTGAAGGGTTGTCAATTGGGATTTGTGTTATCAACTTTGGGTGATTATCAAGTAGGTATATGACACGTGTACTTCTTGCCATCCTTATAAGAGTGGACTACATGTATTTGGAATTTTGTATGCTGACTTGTCAATCAAAAGGAAAATCACCAAAGTCCAACGTTGATGAAAATTCTACTCGTACTCCATTCTATTGCATGATTTCCGCATTCTAATGGAGAAAGTAGAAACGGAGGAATGCTATGTATTTGGTACATAATATGACAGTTCGTAAATATTTTTAAAATAAACATTATTAGTACCACTAAGATGTGAAATGAATCATTATTATTACAATAGTACTGTAAATAGTTAAAATTACACTAAAGATTGTTACAGTAGTATACTTTTAAGGCAAAAACTAATGAGCGCCCCCGGGGCGTTAGATAAGAGAATTAAAGTGCAAATATTAGAATAAAATTAACATTAATTACACCGAATAACGCGTGATTTTGTCATGAATTCCTAACTTAATACCATTTCAACCAATATAATTTATCCTTATCTAACGCCCCGGGGCGCTCGTTAGCAAGATCGTACTTTTAAAGCTAATATATGTACCATTAGGTCATGAAATTATGCAATGAAAAAAAAGGTCATGAAATTATGCCACTGAAGTATAATGGTATAATAGTAGTTTTGTTGTAATGATATTAAAATGACTATAGTGGTACAATTAAAACCTGAAAATTAAAGTGATAATATATGGTCCCATCACCTTATTGAGTTATGGTTGTACTAAAACCCTGTTCTCTTCACCTTAAAAAAAATAATATTAAGTAAAAATAATTTCAGTTCAATAAAAATAAGTTCAGTTCAGTAAACTTAAGTTCAGTTTAGTAAAAATAATTTTAGTTAAGTAAAAATAAGTTCAGTTCTGTAAAATTCAGTTTTTTTAAAGAAAAATTATAATTAAAAAAATCAGTAAAAATAATTTCAGTTCAGCAAAAATAATTTAAGTTCAATAAAATTAATTTAAGTTCAGTAAAAATAATTTAAATTCAGCAAGTGTAGTTTTGTTTCAGTAAAAATAATTTCAGTTCAGCAAAAATAAGGTGAAGAGAACAGGGCCTAAGTTACCATTATGCCCATGTTATGTACCAATAGGTACATAACTTTCCTCCCTTTGAAAGGCCCCATTCTAATGTGCAAAGTACATTTTAACTTTATAGTTTGTCATCTCACATGTCACTCCTAGAGTCTGTTTTAGTATTAAATTATTGATTGATACGAGTCTTAAAATTTAAGGATTATTCAAATGTGTATAGTATACAACATGTCATTAGCATTTAGCACTAAGTACAAAATAGACCTTATACAATTCTAGGCCCATCAATAGATGTTAAACAACCCCAACACATACAAAACCCAATCCCCATAAATCCGATAACTTACGAATAAAGCCTAACTTGGTATCGACTCATTGTTTATGAAACCAATTAAACCCAATAATTCAAGATTTGAAATTCGATCTAACCCTAAAGAAATATACCCAAAAATACCTTATTAGACTTAGACCTTTATTTACCCAACCTGAAACTACCCATGGCCCAATTAAACTCGACTTAAAACTTATCTATAACTAGCTTAGGCCCGGCCCCGTGCCATGCACGATAAGTGTAATTTTTTTTTTGTAAAAAATAATATAATATTTAACAAATACTTTAAAGTAATTTCTTTTAATATCAATAATATGAATTAGTTTTATTACGGAGTATTACTTTTTTTTTAACAAAATTACTCCGTTTATCAGATTATTAAAAAGATTTGGAACAATATTTTAGGTAAACCTGTATGGAAGAATTATGAACACTCAATAAAAAGTAATATTTTTTATTATAAAGATAAATAAAAGATTTGAAATGATATTATTATAATTGTATCAAATATATATATTCACAAAAAAAAAAGGGGGTTAAAAAGGGAAGGAGGGATTTGGAGGGTAAAAAACAACACTAAGATGTGATACGTGCACTCCTCGTGTCTGTTTAAGTATTAAATTGTTGATATTATAAAAACTCAAAGGGACTACATGCTACCGCCATGTGTCACCGTTCCTTCCATATGACTTGGCACCACATACATGAGCATTAGGTGTCTATCTTATGCGTCATCATTCATCACCTTAAGATCTTTCATATGTGTAAACTTTGTACTTAATTTTCCTATATAATGTAACTCCTAAATAATTGCACATTAAGACATTAATCACACACTAATTGTTGTTGATTCCTTGGATGCTAATTTTTAGAATTCAATATCAATAAAGCAATTATATGAAGTACTCCCTAATATTTACATAAGTTATTATTTTATTTTAATTTTGACAAAAAGTTATTAATATAATTTTATTCACTTATAAATTTTGTTGAACATTAACCTTTTAAATTTTATTTACTGTCAAACTTTCAAATTTTTAGTGATCCGGGGCATCGCCCGAGCCAATAACTAGTTTATTAATTAGTTATTGACTTATTGAATATATGGAGTCCAAAGGAAAATTATAAAAATATAGTTAATGGGGGTTATATTATTTAATTGCTAGTAAAAGAGAAATTATAAACAAGTGCAAGTGGGGTTGGTAGGAAACTAGGTTGCACGGAAACGGGAAACGAAAACAGTAAAACGGGGAATCGGGGAAACGGATATTTTAACATATTGAGAAACTGGGATACGGAAAAATAAATAAATAAAATACATTTTAATTAGAAAAAAATACCAACTTGTCAGAAATAAAAAAAGAAAAATAAAAAACAAAAATTGTTGGAGCCCAATGTGTATCACTTGTGAGTGTCCCACGTTGGAGAAAGAAGAGAAATGGTTCCACTTTATAAGGTAGAGGAGTAACTCCTACTATTGCCAATTGGTTTTAGTATGGAAGCTCCAAAGCCTTGTTTGTGGACCAAATTCTCCTCCTCCTTATTTGGGTTGCCCAAGCCCATTTCATATTGTTTCGAAATTTAACAAAAATGCTTCCAAAATTTCCTTAATTCTGCACTTCCCCACCTTCAATATCTTCATCTTCCTCTCAAGCAATAATTTATGCAGACACTTCAACTGCAAACATAAACCAAAATTAATCTTCTACTATGCAGTCAAGCAGAGGCCAATGACGATAAGATCGAGGAATTCTTTTATTTCTTCAAATTAAAACCAAAATTAACCTCATTATCAAAGAAATTGGTCGATGATACTTGCGTTGACATTGTTTCGGCGAGGCGGCTACAGCGGCAAAGCAAGGGGAAACGCTTATCCATTCCTTAAATTAAGTTTTCCAAAGGTATCCATAGTTCCAAATTGTATGAGACGTATCGTGAAGGAAGGAAACTCTCACAGGCGTTTCGAAACGCGTTTCTACGTTTCGAAAATGATACGTTAGTGAATGTTAACATTTCCGTGCATTTGTGGTAGGAACTAAACAATAGCAAAATACTTGTGTTGATTAGTTTGTGTGGTAACTGGGAGAGAGAATTAATAATACAAGAATATTTGCAAATTATTTTAGGCGAACATAAAGGAAAAATGTAACGATTATTATAAAATAGAGGAGGTATAACTTTACCGACATTCTTAATATTTAAATTAAATGATTTGAACTGAAATGATTCGAAATAAAATTGAGTCAAAAAATTAAAATAATCCGACTCAAATTTTAAGCAAAAGTGAATTGATTTTAACTGAGATCTAACCTAATATGAAACGATTGATTCAAAAATCTATTAAATCCGTTTTGACCCAAGTAAACTGGGTCAGATCCGAATTCGAGCTGACCCGAACTCGATATGACTCGACCCGAATTTGACTTGCACTCGATCTTACTCATAGAGCTGTTAAAAACTGACCTAACCCGAGAACCCGACCTTTTAGGACAAAGATCTAAACCCAGCCTATACTCGAACAATGGGGTGAAACTATTGACTTGTAACCTGACTTGAACCTGACCTGAACTTAAGCGAAAGCCCATTTGGTCCAATACTTTGTGACTTGAACTCGAACCTATCCCGACCTGATAGTAACCGTCAACCGATTTAATCCGACCCGAAAACAATCCGAACGAACCTGAACTAGTACCCGACTCAATTAAAACATGAACCTGAGTCATGGAAGGTTTAATAAAATTTTATATACCTTTTATTCAGCTTATATACTGGTATAATTTTGTAAACCTTTAATCCGATTTAATAAAATCTTTTGTTCAGCTTATATAACTTTTGTTCTCTATTACTCGTATATAGGTTTAATAAAATCTTGATGATGCTTGATCAAATTATAGAATGCGTAATTATATAGTTCAACTTGGCCACATCGATATTTATTAGAATTGAACTTGAACTAGGACCCGACTCAACAGGAACCCGAACCCGAATGTACAATCTTGCTAACCCATCCAACCCGACTCAACACAACCCGAACTTAAAATTGAACCCGATCTGATTTTAATTCGAATTGAACCAGACCTATATCCGAAAAGGTGAATGAATCGTTATAACTTGAACTGAAATTGACCCGACCTGAACTTGAACCTGATCTGAAGCTAGATTGACCCGACATAACATGATCCTGAGTTAACCAGAGAGTTAATTTGACCTGACTTAAACCCGACTTGAATACCCGAATTGACAGCTCTACTTACTCATACCCAACTTTGTCCGGAATCTAATTAAGTTTTACTTACTTGATTTTAGGGGTGTCCATTCGGTTTTCGGTTTGGATTTAGCCCAAATCCAATCCGATCCGAAATAAATTTCGGTTTTTAGTTTTCAAATCCAATCCGATCTGAATTACTTACCAAATCCGATCCGATCCAATCCGAATTATAATTCAGTTATTTGGATCCAATCCGAAATTCCGAATCAAAATACATTGCTAAATTTTTTGGGTCTAATGCGATTACAAAAATAAAATTGCAATAATAAAATTCAATTTTTAAAAGTATAGTAGTACATGATTTATACAAGTATTGAAAACATAAGTTTACATTATTAATATTATTATAATCATGAACATAGTTTAACATGATTAATGTTATCAATATTTTTTGTAAAATAACACTTTCATAATTCGGTTATTTCGGTTTTTTGGATCCGAACAAGGTCAATCCGATCCGATCCGATCCGAAAATCTGAATTTTCAAAAAAATTCAATCCGATCCGATCCGATTTAAAGTTTGGATCCGATCCAAATTGATAATTCGATTTGGATTGGATTGAATTTCGATTTTTATCCGAATAATGGACCCCCCTACTTGATTTAGGATAAAATTACCTGCCTAACCCGCCTCAAACATCCCAACCCATCATGGATCAACCTAAACTCTATATGGGCTACCAACCGAACTACAATGCACTCATATTACACCCCAAAATCCAATAAACCTGTTGCAATATTAGGCCCATTAACTTTATAAAATAAGCCCCAACTTCTAACTTCACTCCACATATATATTCATCAAATCACCATAAACCCTAGGTCAGCCATTCCTTTTTCCACACACGCCGTCGTTGCAGCAAACACCGGAGCACAGAAATGGGTAAATTCCGACGCTTTCTCTTTCTCTCTCCTCCATTTTCGATTGATTCAAGCTTTTTCATTGTCTTCAAACTGATTTTATTGATTCAATTTTCTTTTTTGTGTGTGAATTTTTGCAGCAAGGATTAAACCGCATGAGTTGAGGCAAAAGCCTAAGGCTGATTTGCTGAATCAGCTTAAGGATCTCAAGGCTGAGCTCGCTCTTCTTCGTGTTGCTAAGGTTACCGGCGGTGCTCCTAACAAGCTCTCCAAGATGTATGTTTTGATTTCAATTTTTTATGGTTTTGATTTTTAGGGTTTATTGGATGAATTTGATTGAATTAATTGGGTTTTGTTTTGGGGATTTTGCAGTAAGGTGGTGAGATTAGGTATTGCGCAAGTATTGACAGTGATGTCGCAGAAGCAGAAGTCGGCATTGAGGGAAGCATACAAGAAGAAGAAGTTCTTGCCACTTGATCTTCGTCCCAAGAAGACCCGTGCCATTCGTCGTCGCCTCACTAAGCATCAGGTATTATTTTCTATCTCTTGTTACACTGGTTTGCCGATTTGATTTGTTCATTTTTAAATAAATATGTTTATTAGGTTGTTTTAGATTATAATGCAAGTTGTTTTTGGGTTCGATTGTATTTGTATGTCGTAAAATGTTGAGTGAAATGGATTTATTTCTATGTTTTATAGATTGTATTGAAGGGAATTTGATTTTTGAGGTTTATATTGACATTTTTGTTTTTGTGAGGATTGAATGTTGAAGTGCTATGTCATTTGATTAATTCTGTATACATTAATATTAAGAGTGATGGTAATGGTTTAGTACGAGTGATACGGCATTGCACGCTAATATATTAGGTTCGGCCGTTCAGTAACTATAAGGAGGCATTTTTAAATAACAATTTTTATGTTGGTTTTGAGAGAAGCACAGAGTGTGTTCTGAAATGGCATTGTTTGATTGATTTTCATTTATATCTATACACAGTGAATAAGAAGTTGGATTAATTTTGATTTCTGCGTAGATTATTGAAATCAATGTGTTGTTTTGGAGATGGATTGTATTAATCTAGTCATTAAATTAGCTTTTAAGCTAGATCATATGCGGTACTCCAAATGCCTCTCTTATTAGCAGATTTTTTTACCCGTCTTTTGACCTGTTCCTGTTTATTTGAGCCTATGAGAGCTCTAGATTTTGAACCTTAATTAAGAAGGGAAAATTTTACAAAGAAGGGTTGCGGAGTTTGTTAAGTTTAGAGGTGTAAGCTGATTTGAGCTAAGTGCAATGGTACATTGCCTACAGTATATCACTTATCAACAACTTGTCATAAATATTTGAATTGACCTGCTGGAGGAGCTTATAGATGGTCATGTAATATGAGTATTAGACATTTAGGGCGGTTGTAATCATTCTAAATTGCAATGATGGATACGGAGTATCTTATAATGGAGGGAGTTTGGCAGTTATGATAATTTCTACAAAGTATTTTTTTTTTGTTATGACAAAATAGTCGTGTCAAAGTTTGTTGGCATGATAGTTCTGAATGCTTGTGCTTTGCTGTTGACCTCTTGTGAGAGAAAGTTTGTATTTTGCCATCAACCAAAATCCGAGTGAATGTTTCCCTTGCTCAACTTGATTAGCTGTTGCGACATTGTTGCCCGTTTGCATGTGCCACATCAAACAGTTTAGGGTTTAGAGGAGTGATATTCATAATATGTTTCTTCCCTTATGTGGTTGGGGGATTGTACGATAGAAAATTTTTTCCCTGGTTATTTTGCACAAGTTTTGGAGGTTATGACTTGCGACTGTTGTGAGGTCTCTAACTATTACTTCGTATTATTTTCTTTCTTTTTCCAGGCATCTTTGAAGACCGAAAGGGAGAAGAAGAGGGAGAGGTACTATCCCATGAGGAAGTATGCCATCAAGGTGTAGGCTAGGTATCTATTCTCTAAGGGGGGTGTCTACATTCCATGAAATTTTCGTTCTAATGTTTTTTAAACTTATAAAAAGTGAGCTTCAATTAAGGACATTAGATGCCAGATTTGTTCTACCTTGTGATTTTATCTTGCCAGCATTTTGTATTTTGCTAAAATAGAATCGTTGTTTATGATTGCTAAAATAGAATCCTTGTTTATGATCTATGACCATTTTTGACATAGAAAGGTGCTGTAGATTCAATCTTACCAGCACACTTTTTAACATTTGCATGTATATCTTGTGTGGAAGTGTGGACTTGGTATCTGGTCTAAACCAAGGACCTGGTTCTAGAACCGGTCAGTAGGGTCCAACATTTTAGAACCAGTCCCAGAACTGATCAAGCTGGGTCCGTGATTTTCGGGAATTAGACCCTAGAACCAGGGGGGGGGGGTCTGGGTAAAAGTTCCAAAACCGGGTTTCTGGTTCCTTTTATTTATTTATTTTCAGATTTTTGGATACATCATACATGACCAAGTATCCCTTTTAAATTTTGGGAAAAAAATCAAAAACTTACTGTATTTTACGTATGCGAAACAAATCCACAAATGCAAATGCATATTATCGGCAATTAGGTCAATTACTCAACAAATCTGCTATATGCACAATTAACAAAACTAAGAAATTGCTACAGTGACTACAAATTCATAATATTACATACGAATTCCAATGGAGTGAAGTTATTAGAAAAAAAAAGAAAGAAAAGAAAACAGACGTTTAACTTGAAAATAATATAAAATCCAATTCAACTGAGTCTGGCATACTCAAATTGTCATTTACTCAATTCCAATCTAACCGTTGACAGTAGATATGTACAAATTAACATTCTTGTTTTCGAAAAATTGCGATCGTTTGAGTTAAATTTTGATTAATTGCAATTGTTTCATTTTGCATTAACCATTTGGCAAGGGTCAATTATTATTTCTCACATTATTCGTTATTGTAGATGTCTTTTACATCTGATTTCGATTAATTGCAATTTTTTTTTTTTTTTTTGTTTTTTAAATGTTTGGTAAGAGACTGATTTAAGGAAATGGAGGGAAAGGAAGAGAAGGGAAATGGTGAGATAAGAGAAAATTTAGCCCGAATTCTTAAGACTTGAATGTGACATCATTTTTGGTGGTCCCCATTGAAAATGATGTCATCAAATTCTTGTTAAGACTTACACAAATTTATCACTTTAGCCCTAAGAGTTAAATATTTGACATATTATATGTAGAAAAGTGATAATAGGGATAATAGGGATAATAAAAATAAAAGTGAGGTTTTCACAAAAAAAATAAAATAAAAGTGAGGTGGGTGAAGTAGGTCCCAATCTCAAGTCTTAAGTTGAGTCTTGGAATTTCAAGACTCAACTTGAGATTTGCTTGAGATTTTTGAAGAAAAATGGAAAAAGTCTTAAGCATAAGTCTTAAAACTCAAAATGATGATGTCACCCCAACTCTTAGGCTAAACTTGCTCTAAAGTATCTTTTATTTGGATAACAAATGAGGAAAGAAGGAAATTGAAAGGGAGAGAAACAGAGGGATTTAAGTGTAGGAAATTAATCCCTCCAACAATAGAGAGATTTGGAAGGAAAACTTACCATTCTTCCCTCCCCTCCCTTTCCCTGCCCTCCTCTTCTCCTCCATCCCTTTATTTTCCTTCCCCTTTCTTTATCCAAACACATTGTTTGGGTGAATTATTAGTTCTCTTAATTCTCTTCAAAATCAATTGAAAATGGAGAAAGTATATTCTTTCAATTATCAGACATAATCACTTACTTTATTGTTATCATTATCAGTACAGATTCAGTAAGCTTGCCGCTGCCGGTGACGATTTCTTATATATTAAAATTAAGGAAATGTAGAGAAGACATAAAAAACAATACTCAACTCAATTAAAAGCTTAAATTGATGGTTGAGGCCCAAAAATGTGTTTTATACTCTACCACTTGTACTACGTCTTTGGTTTTATTGTTCATTCGGTTATTTTTATAAAAATGTTGCTTTGTATACCTTTTCTTTAATCTCTTATCACTTGTCACTATCGCCCTAATCAACGCAACTTTTTTTTATTTATATTTTTTTAATTTTCATATGGCCTCATTGAAGCTTGAAATTTACACAAATTTTTATGTTCGTAAGTGGAGTTGATTATTGGGTATTGATTAGGGGATTTTTCCCCACCAATCACCATCTGACAAGTGGACCAATCAGGTTCCGCCATGTGTCCGTCACATGGGCCAATAGGAGCCTGCCACGTGTCAAGCAATGATCCGTCCACCATGGACCAATTACGACACGACACATGTCCTTCCCATGACACCTGGGATAACCGGTCACCTAGGCCCAACTCCCGAGGGAAGCCCAATCAGCCCAAGGTTAACCTAAACCTAGATTGACACGTTTCCCGAGGTTATAAATACCTCCCTTAATCCTCATTAAGGGAGAGAACACGCTAAAAAGCAGATTACACACATTAAACACTCTCACCTAGAGAGACCCAATCACTTTAATTTCCGCATTAATTACTCCTTAATCAAGTACTAACTTGACCGTCGGAGGCGGATCTCCAATCATCCGGAGCATCCGTTTGTTTTGCAGGTACATGCGTCCGGTTCCAGTCTCGGAATTGTAACTCTCCCGCAGGACATCAGAAAACCCCGAAACATTTGGCGCCGTCTGTGGGGAGAGTACTTCTGAGATGGCATCCACGTCTGTACCGACTCCTGAAGAGAGGCGTCCCCTAGACGACCCTCAAGTTCAGTCGGACCACGATACTGAGAATGAATTTGAAGTTGAAGCTCACACAGCTTCAGACGGGACCCTAAGGGCCCGACGTACCCGTCATGCCGAAAGGAGAAAACGGGAACATGTTCAAACTGGAAGTGAGCCAGCAGGCGCACCGCCTGTTCGGCAGCAACCGACTGATGGGTCTGCTCCCATCACAAGGAACGAACTCATGACCTTCATGAGGGACTTCATGGGAGAAATTCAAGAGTTGATCAACAAGAAGCCGCCTGCTCTGGACAAGGAGCAGTCGGCTAAGAAACCCTCCACTTCACTGAAGAGGAAACCAGTTCAAGGGCGAGAGGCGACCCCTCATCCTAAATCTAGGAAGTGGGAGCCACCTGCCCTTGATTTCACAAAACACCGATTTCCTACTCCAGGAAATAGGAAACCTGTTCGTCATATTCAGGCGGACGGGTCGAGGAAAACATACACAGACGCTCGGCTACTGCTAGAGCAGAAGAAGAGTGACCGATTGTCAGAGTCGGCCTCTACTTCAAACTTCTAAGACAGTCTGCGAAATACCTCGATGAGGCATACTCAGTCGTATCATGAGAGTCAGTCAGGCGACACCTCCCGTCAGTCCGGCTTACATAGCGACCAGGCGGTACCAAACTTACCGTTTGTACCGCAACATTAGTATTTTTTACAGCCACCTCCGTTTCGTGGACATGCAGCAAAAAATGTCCAACCTATGGACTGGCAGCTACGGTTGCTTAGACTTGGTGAACAGCCGTCGGCCTTCTCCAAGGAAATTACTGAAGCCGCTCAGCCGGCCAAAGTGAAAAATGTATTAGTAGGCGCCTATGACGGCACTACTAACCCAGAAGACCATCTGATGGCATTCACCAACCTGATGTATCTCCAAGGGTTGGATGATCCCACTTGGTGCAAGTGTTTCCCAGCGACTCTCAAAGGAACCGCACAACAATGGTTCGGCAATCTTCCGACTAGTTGTGTAAATAACTTCTAGACGCTTGCTTACTTATTCACCTCCAACTTCGCCATGAACATCCCTGTGAAGAAGACGACCCTTGATTTAGGAACAATTCAGCAGGGCGAGAAGGAGGGGCTTCGTTCTTACATCAGGCGGTTTAACCTGATGAGAATACAGATTCAAGGGTTACCGGATGAAGTAGCCTATACTGACTTTTTCAGAGGTCTCAAAGACGGGTCGACCTTCAAATTTGATTTGGTCCGAAAGAGGGTGGCGACTCTTCAAGAGGCCTTGATTGAAGCGGAAGCCTATATACAGGCGACTGAAGGACGACAGAAACAGTCGTCAAACAAAGACGAGAAGAGAAAAGAGGTCTGGGCGGCTGATTCCTCTAAACAGCCGGCCCAGAAAAAGAAAAAAGAATTCAAACCATACTCCCCAAAGTATGCGTTTAACAAGGATAACCAATTTATCCTAAAGGAAATCAAGGGACGGATCTCAATTGAGAAGCCGGTCCCCATGAAGGGTTCTGCAAACAGTCGGAACCAAGAAAAATTCTGTGATTATCATGAAGATGTTGGTCATCACACCAATGAATGCATCAGTCTCATGCGGTATCTGGACCGCCTGGCTGAGCAAGGTGATCTTGACACTTATGTCAAGAAATCTACGGGGAACACTTCCTCAAAAAAGCAGTCGACCAAAAAGAATCAACAGGCCGACAACTCCGATACAGATGATGCAGTCGTCTACACCATTGCAGGCGGCTTCTCAAGAGGCGGCCCCACTATTAGGGGCAACAAAGACAATATCAGACGGTTAGATGTAAATTCCGTTCACCAAGAACGACCCTCCAAATATTCATTTCCTGAGATTGTCATCACTGAAGAAGATCTAGGAGGGGTAAGAGGGCCGCATGACGACCCTATCGTTATTGAATGTAAAGTGGCCAACCAGAGAGTTGGCCGAATCCTCATAGATACCGGAAGCTCCTCAGATCTCATCAGTAGCAAATGTCTGTCGAAACTAAAATATCAGACTGATTGCATACATCCGGCATCCTTCCCTTTAGTAGGGTTTGGAGGAGGAGTCGTCCACCCAGTGGGACGAGTGGATTTACCCATCCGCCTAGGCGAAAAAGGGGAAGGACGACACATGGTAGTCCGGTTCCTAGTAGTTGAAGAACTCTCGGCCTACAACATGATTCTGGGACGACCAACCCTGAATAATTCCAAGGCTGTTATAATCCCATCTCTTATGTTGCTCAAGTTTGAGAGGGATAATGGAACAGTCGGGTCCCTAAGGGGAGATCAGAGGATGGCCCGAGAGTGCTATCTCTCGGATGTCAAGCCCACTGTTATGGCCACTGGGTCGAGTGGTGGAAAAATAGACCTTGACAATGTCAAGGAGAGTGCGCCTGTTCAAGAAGCAGGCAGCAAAAAGAGAAAGGCATCCCAGA